TGTAGGCCCTTTAATCCGCAGATTTATGTTTTCAAAAATTTTTGACTATTCTTTTTTATTATATTGTCTCTGTTATTTTCTTTTTATATAAAACTCCTGTGGAATAGCTTTTTCACCTTATTCTGTGCCTTCATAGCCATTTTAAGAAATGCTCTTGCTATTTTTATTTTTTTCTTTTGTAGTTCTTTTTAATTCTTTTTTTAAATTAATTTATTTTTTCAAATACATTTGTCTCTACCTACCCCCCACCACTTTCCCTTGCTCTCTCCCTCCCTCCCTCAACTCTTCCCCTTTGGCTTTGTCCATGAGTCCTTGCTATATGTTCCTTGACTTTCCCCTTCCCTTACTTTTCTCCTGCCCCCCCTTCCCTCTTGTCTCTGTTGGTTTCTTTTCCTTTCAGTGCTGCTGGTCTTATTTTCCTTGTATCTTTGTATTGTTGGTTAGGTTCCACTTATAGGTGAGATCATATGGCATTTGTCTTTCGTCCCCTGGCTTATTTCGCTTAACATAATGTTCTTGAGTTCTATCCATGCTGTCGCGAAGTTTAGTTCTTTTTTTCTTTCTGCTGTGTAGTATTCCATTGTGTAAATGTACCATTACTTTTTGATCCAATCATCTACTGATGGGCATTTAGGTTGCTTCCAACATTTGACTATTGTAAATTGTGCTGCTATGAACATTGGGGTGCATAGGTTCTTTCGTATTGGCGTTTTGGGATTCTTAGGGTATAGTCCCAGCAGGGGAATCACTGGATCAAAAGGCAGTTCCATTTTCAGCTTTTTGAGGAAATTCCACACTGCTTTCCACAGTGGCTGCACCAGTCTGCATTCCCACCAACAGTGTACTAGAGTTCCCTTTTCTCTACAGCCTCGCCAGCACCTGTTGTTTGTGGATCTGTTTATGATGGCCATTCTGACCGGTGTGAGGTGGTACTTCATTGTGATTTTGATCTGTATTTCTCTGATGGCTAGTGATGCAGAGCATCCTTTCAAATGTCTCAGGGCCCTCTGTATTTCCTCCTTGGAAAAGCATCTGCCCAGGTCCTTTGCCCATTTTTTGATTGGATTGTTTGTCTTCTTGCAGTGGAGTCGAGTGAGTTCTTTGTATATCTTGGAGATCAAACCTCTATCTGATGTGTCATTAGCGAATATATTTTCCCATAGGGTTGGCTCCCTTTTCATTTTGCTGGTTTTCTTTCGCCATGCAGAAGCTTCTTATTTTGATGAGGTCCCACTTGTTTATTCTTTCCTTTGTGTCCCTTGCTTTAGGAGACATATCAGTGAAAAAATTGCTGCGTGGGATATCTAAGAGTTTCCTGCCAATGTTCTCCTCTAGGACTTTTATGGTGGTGCAACATATTTAAGTCTTTTATCCATTTTGAGTTTATTTTTGTGTATGGTGTCAGCTGATGATCCAATTTCAATTTTTTGCATGTAGCCATCCAGCTCTCCCAACACCATTTGTTGAAGAGGCTATTATTGCTCCATTTTATGCTTCTGTCCCCTTTGTCAAATATTAGTTGCCCATATAGACCTGGACTTATTTCTGGGCTTTCTATTCTGTTCCACTGGTCTATGGATCTGTTCTTGTGCCAGTACCAGATCGTTTTGAGTATAGTGGCTTTGTAGTAGAGTTTGATGTCCGGTATTGTGATCCCTCCTACTTTGTGTTTCTTTCTCAAAATTGCTGTGGCTATTCGGGGTCATTTATGGTTCCATATAAATTTTTGAAATGTCTCTTCTATTTCTGTGAAATATGTCATTGGTATCTTAATAGGGATTGCATTGAATCTATAAATTGCTTTAGGTAGTATGGACATTTTGCTGATATTAATTCTTCCAATCCATGAGCACAGTATATGCTTCCATTTATTTGTGTCTTCCTTAATTTCTTTTTTCAATGTTGTATAGTTTTCTGTGTACAGGTCTTTTACCTCCTTGGTTAAATTTATTCGTAGGTACTTTATTTTTCTTCTTGCTATAGTGAATGGTATTTTTTTCTGATTTCTTCCTCTTCTATTTCATTGCTGATGTACAAAAATGCCATTGATTTCTGAATATTGATTTTGTATCCTGCTGTTTTGCCAAATTCACTTATGAGGTTGAGGAGTTTTTTTGGTAGAGTCTACAGGGTTCTCTATGTACACTATCATGTCATCTGCAAACAATGATAGCTTTCCTTCCTCCTTTCCTATTTGGATGCCTTTATCTCTTTCTCTTGTCTGACCGCTGTGGCTAGGACTTCCAATACGATGTTGAAAAGAAGCGGTGAGAGTGGGCATCCTTGTCGTGTTCCCGATCTTAGTGGGAAAGCTTTCAGTTTTTGCCCATTGAGTATGATGTTGGCTGTAGGTTTTTCATATATGGCCTTTATTACGTTGAGGAATGCCCTATTTATTCCATTTTGCTGAGTGTTTTGATCATAAACGGGTGCTGTACCTTATCGAATGCTTTTTCTGCATCTATTGAGATGATCATGTGGTTTTTGTCTTTTATTTATGTGACGTATTATGTTTATTGACTTGCGTATATTGAACTATCCCTGCATCCCTGGGATGCTCTTTCTATTTTTAAGTAAGCAATTTTTGCACCCAGAATTTTAACTGCCATTGTTAAATGTATCTATTTTTTCTAGGTATTTATCAATAGCGATACCTGGAAGTGTTCTTTAACTAGAGACTTTTAAAAGATGACAAAAATACTAAATGAATCTACTTAAACATATTGTAATTATAAAACTATATTTTAAAATATACAATGAATTATAAATAATTTATTAAAAGTTACCGTGAGACAATATACAAATAGGCAGTGGCCGGGCCACGTAAAAAAATGTAACTGACCCATTGCCTTCAGCAACCAGCCCAGAAAGGCAATTCACTATCTGTAGCAATTGGTTCAAGAGACCCAACAAAAAGGAATTAGCTCAAAGTGACTATGACTTGATTAATAACTTGATTGATAACTGATATTTCTTTATTAGTTTCCCCTGATTCCAACTTAGGATCACACAGAGAAACCTAAACACGCACCCCATCAAATCAAATAGTATGCTGCACTTCTAGTTAGCTCTTCCCCAGCTAACCCATGCCTACAGTCTCCAATTGAGGTGTACCTGATGCCTTTCTCTTTTTTCACTATAAAGCTCCCCCCCTGCTCTGCTGACGACCTTGCTATAGCAAACTCTGAATAAATAGCCTCTACTTATTTTCATTTGGTTGGTGTTTGTTTATTATAATATATATGGAAAATTTATAAATATTATGTAGTTTAGTTCCAGCATTAAATTCTGGTGGTTTATAATTAAGGAATTGTATAAGCGTGGTTACCAGGTATAGTTGGTGATACTGCCTCAATTAGATTTTATGTTTATGGACAAGAGGAATGTTTATGGACAAAGTCCTTATGAATGAGTAATTGATTATTTCATTACTTCAACAATATTTACAACTGCTGTATATACTAGAGAGGCCACAATCCATGTTGCTATAAATGCTAAGAACAACCTATACATGCTAAGAAAAGGAAAGAAGCAGAGGTTGAGGATAGGGAGGGATGGGGTCATTGGTTTAGACAACATGGTCAGAGAAGCCCCTTTGATGTGGTGACATTTGAGACAGAGATGAGAAGGAGCAAGATGTGAAAGGATCTGCAGTAAATTTTCAAAGGAGAGAGAACAGAAATTACAGACTCAGGATAACATAGCTGGAACTTAGAGGACATGAGTTTGGAAAGATCAGAGAAGTAGGAGGGTAAGATTGTATATAGTCTTATAAGCCAACATGAGACTGAATTTTATCTGTGTTGAAAGACACTGAGGGTTTTATACACGGTAGCAACATAATCTAGTATTTCAATAAGATCACTCTGACAACTGTTGACAGGACAGACTGAACGGGGCCAATCACAGAAGCATTGACGTCAGTTAGGAGGTAGTACAGTATTTCAGCTGACTGACCATTGATTAGGATGGTATTGGTGATATAATGGAAATACGTGGTCAGACTTGAATATACATTTTGAAGGTAGAAACTCTAGAATTCCCTAATGGAGTGAATGTGAAGAGGAATCTAGGGTTACTGTAGGGTTTTTGTCATGACCCACTGGGTAAAAAATAGTGTCACTTACTGAGATGGAGAAAAGCAGAAAGGTGAGGATTAGGGAGAATTTATTGTTAGGTTTAGGATGTATGAAGTATAAGATGCCTATGTTAAATACAGGTGAGTTTGTTGGGTAGAGATTTAGATATGCAAGTGTACTTCTCAGAGAAGAGATCAGGACTGGAAGTGTAAATTTGGGAATCATGAATATATAGATGGTATATTTGAAGCAGTGAAGTGAATGAAAGTCAGAATAATTGTGATAGAGAAGATATATGAAGGTTGAGCCCAAAAATTTGCAAGCGTTAGTGGTTGGAAAAAGGTAGAGAATTCAGCCAAAAATTTCTGAATTGTTGCCCTATAATAAGAAGAGCACAGTGTATACTAGTCTGAACATATCTCCTTTGTTAATTAGCAATAAATTAAAGCCAAAATGTAGCTACAAATTACTTTCTTAGGGTATTTGCTCAATAACCTTTGAAATCTTCTGATTAAATCTGTTTAATCAAAAATTAAAGGTACTGTGAATAAAAATTTATGTAATAAAAATATCTGCTCAATCCTTCAAAATTTTAGTGTCCAAAAATGTGTTTTTCAGTGGTTAACAACTGAATAAGTATTAATTTCATGCTGTAATGTCTCATCGGAAAAATAATAATCACAGTCATCTTATGTACTAAGAAAGAACATTCTAAAAAATTATTATTGTAGGGGTTATTTCCCATTCATTTTATTTAGCAAAATAAAGGAATATGAATGAGGAAAAAAGGCATTTCTTGAAATGAGGAACACATATTCAAGTTCTTTCATCAATATTTTCATTTCTGACTTACTGTGAGGCTTTAGTCAAACTGTATAAACCTTGTATACAGTGAGTATAATGTTCTTTTCTTATGTGCAGGAAGCTGTAAGACCTGATGGGATGTGTGCTATCCTCAGCGCTCTCTGGAAGACGGCCAGGGTTAATGATAATGGAGATTATAGGTGTGTTAGAAAATGCCTCATTAACAAGCTGTTGTTTTTAGAATGGCCCTATGATTGGCTAAAGAAAGATGGCACGTAACTACCTTCATACCGGCAAGAACCCTTGTGAAACTGAAACCATGGTCCATGCCTGACACATGTAAAGGGTTAAGTTCTGGGAGAAGGAGGTTAACTCTGTATTGTCTTTCTTATGTTTTGGATTTCAGAGGAAAGAATCCAAAATTTCATTCTAGGACTGTTTTCGACAGCTGCCAGCCAAAGAAGTAGATGCTATGTAATGACAGAACCACTTCTGGACTATTAAATACAGGTATGGAAAACAATGGTTAAAGGGATTCGTGCATATTTTGAAATCTTTTTGTTTTCTCCTTTATGCCATGTGATAATTTCCTATGGTGTGAGTTATTTTATTTTATTTTTTTTTTGGCTTACTTCTTTAAAAAAATTGGAATTGTATTTTATTGTTTATGCTATGGCAGTTGTCCCCACGTTTCCCGCCTTTGCCCGCTTTGCCCAGCCCCCTCCTTCATCAGGCACTCCCTATACCATTGTTTGTGTCCATGGGTCACGCATACATGTTTTTTGGCTAAACCCTTCACCTTCTCTCATACAGTTTTTAGTTTACTTCATATGCTTACCTTTTAAATCTGTCCCATTCAAATATCATTCTCTCTACTGAACCTTAAGTGAATGATTAAGCATTTCAATTTATTGCTTAGAAATGTACTTCTAGTCAATGAAAAAGGTCTTGGGAGGTTTGTAAAGGCATTTGTTTAGTTGGAAAAGCTTAATTTAGTTCTTCTCAAAGAATGTATCATGGTTTCCTATGAAGCCCTGAGATGCCATGGGCTTTTGCCATCAAAATTAAGGTCTCATTTGCTGTTTCACAATGTTGGTATTTGCACTCGGTGGAGCAAAAGCAATGTGACTGGAAATGCAGGCACCGCACTGTGAATCAAGGCGGTGGCACCAAGCTGTGCCAGGAGTCGTTACATCAATACTTTTTGCTTTCATATACTCCAGGGAAAAATTCCTGTTTCACTTAAGAATATTCTTGATGAAGTGGTAAAAAATATTAACTTTATTAAATCTTTATTGTTATGTATAGCTCTTAAATATGCTAACCAACAAAATGAAAAGCTTGCATAAACACTGCTGCATGCTGAAGTACAATGGTTGTCTTAAGGAAAGTTCTTGGACATTTGAGTTGAAAGCTGAAATAGTTACTCTTTAATATATATCAGCATTTTTACTTGAAAGAGCGACTGACTGTCAAACTAATCATGATGATGATTTAGATTGGTTCTCTGGCAGACAGTTTATTAAAAATCAATGAAATCAGCCCATTACTTTAAGAGAAACAACTAATAATTTGTCATTTGTGATAAAACTCAAACTCACACATGAGAATTAGAATTTTGAAAAACATGTATAATCCCCTATAAATTTGACAACTTCCCAATACTTAGAGATATTTTATAATGAGATTGGTGTTGATAATATGGAATATGATTTTTTGATGTTGTATAACAAAATGTGTCAACATTTTGGACATCTACATAACTATGTGAACGGAGTAAACCAACACTTTGTACATAATCAATGTATAGTGTAATAAAATTATACAAAAATAAAAGATTCATTCAAAATGTGACAAAAACTGATGGATTTTAACATAAAAAGCACAAAAATTTCATTAATATGGCTTCAGATTCTATATTACAGTAACTGACCTCTAAGAAAATACCACTTTTAAAGTGTTGGTGTAGAGTCAAAGAATATCCCCAATTATTTGAAAAGGCTATCAAAATATTTCTTGTTCTTTCCAACTATATCTTTGTGTGAGACACAATTTTCCTAAAATACTTCCATCTAAACAATACATGGAAATACAATGAGTTCAAGAGCAGATAGATATAAAATGCGATTCGTAATTTCTTGAATAATCCTAAAAATAAAAGTTATTTTAAATGGTTTATTATTTTTATTTTAAATAAATACTTTAAATTTTCACTTTTAATTTCTAATAAAGTAAACATTAATAGATAGCTCACATAAACCATAGTCGTTTATGGAGTATAGGAAGTGTATGAAGTGGTCCTGAAACCAAAACTTCCGAGTACCTCTGATTTAATACTTTACAAGGGAGAAGTCAGCCATAACAAATAAGACTAAATAATTATAGGATGTTAAGTTATTAGCCTTGGAGCTGTATTTTAAAAATATAGAAGCCCACAAGAATATAATGTTTTCTTTTCCATTTAGTGAGTCAGCCCATCACATAATTGACATAGTAATTATACATCTAATGACTGTGTATACTTTAAAAAGTATAATGCTAGTGCTTTAGGTGGATTTTTTTTGTCATAATGCTTATCCCTTGACCCAGTCATTTAATTCAATCACTTCCACAATGACACTGAAGAGCTCTCTCTCTCTCTACATATATAAATGATCAGCACTTTATTTGACCCAGCTTCAAATAGTCTTAGGTTTGTCATAATCATGTGATTAAAATCCTAGAAGTATAATTATTTTAGAATAGAAAAAACATCCGAGATGATGTAGTCCAAGCTTTCCTTTGGCAGAGATGGAAATGGAAGCCCAAAGAGGAGCGTATAACATACAAAATTAGTGTGTGCCTCATTCAAGAACTAAAATCTGGTTTCTTAATCAAATACTCTTTTTAGTATACTGCTATTTATTCTTTACTGATGTCCTCTTTCTGATAATGTGAAATCTTTTTTTTTTTGAGTGCAAAATATTGAATTACGGTGTTACAGCACTTCCACAGACCTAAGCCCACGTGCTTTGAGGCTTACAACCACTCCTTCTAGTAGACTAGAAGGGCCCAATTTTATTGTCAGTGTTCTGAGGTATTAGATTAGATGTGAAAAAACTGAATGCTGTAAGTTAAATTTGGAACTTTAGCTTAATTTTACAAGCAGTATTCTCCTAGTTGCTGATACCATATCTGTCTTATAAACTTGTTTTTTTATTGTGATGATTTGGGAACATTACTAAACTGGAGCCTCTGAGAGATTATAGATAAAAAGCATTCAGAGAGCTACAATCTGAGAACATTCTGAAGTTTACACCAAAAGGAACATTAGAGCTTTGTAATCTTCAGGATTTCCTATGTTCCTTCTCTTACTTTCTTTTATTTTTTATTGTTTTCTTCTTTGTCTTCTCTACTCCTCTCCTTTACCATCCTCAAATCTAAAATAAATTTTCTCATTTTGAAATATCATATTTTATATGATATTATAAACTATCATATTAGTTTATTTACTAATTATATGTTGCCAGTTTTCAATATAAAAATTATCTTAGGCTTATATAAGTATGTCTCTTTATTTTGCATATCTTTGCGGTATTTTTTCTTCTTTTTAAAATGTGTATAGCTTTCTCTACATGGGTCTTAATGCTGTCACTAGTTACATTGCACATTTTTTGTTTTTGTAAAAGAAATTATTTTATTATTTTCACTTGGCTAATACTAATAAAGTTATTAAGTTTGGTACATTCACTTTTGTGAGTGAATCAAGCCATCTTGAAATATTTTATTAGTTTAGCAGTTTTCTCTTTAATTAGCTCAGATTTTCTTTGTAAAAATAATATTTTTACCTACCAGCCTTTCAATAATTAAATGTCCTCTTACAATTTCCTGCCACATCATATTATCATAAGCATACAGAAAACTGTTAAATACTATGTAAATCCCTTATTTCAACAATGAGAAAAACCATGACTCAAAGGAAATAGCCTTTGTTAACACAAGCTAGTTTAAAAAGTATATGTATTAATCTGTAACCAATCTCTATAATCTCTACTGAAATAAGTTTAGGATCATTTTTTCAGTTGATGTAAAATAACGGAATGATAATTCAGGTAGAAAAATGAATAAGTCATCCTCTTCTAAATATTTACTTAAGTGAATTTGATAAAATTTTAGTTGTTTATAATAAATTTCTGAAAATTATACAATAATAATTAAATCTCTGTTTACAGCTGGTCTCTATCTTGTACCAAAAAGTAGATAAGAGAGAATTACTTTTAATGTTTGAGATGTGTTATTAAGCTAATTAGGCATGAAATAGTACACTCACTGGAAATACAAGAAAAAAACACATGGTTTAAAAGGGGATGGAGATTGATAAACCTCAGTGCCATAAAAATTTGGAATGGAATAAGAAATTGGCCAGAATTTAATGAGAATAATAAGTACATATTTAGATGGGGCATATGGTTGGGGGAGAAGAGAGATGGAGCTCAGGTCAGGGCCAGACTTGGAAAGAGAAACTCCAAAGAGTAAACATGGGGAGTCTTTGGGTTTCCCCACATCTATTGAACACCCACCCCTCAGGCTGGATATTGGCTTTGAGGTACTATTTCCCCTATTGTCTATACCTACTAGTGTAGAGGCCAAAATCAGCTCCTTAGTTTCTGTGCCCCTCCTCAATGTCAGAAGTCTAGTTTGGTTCCAATTTTTAAATTGTAGGTAATTCACAGGATCCCAGGGGAACTACTGAATTTACTCTGGAACAGTACCTTGGTAGTTTAAATTTGGATGGCTAAGGATCAAATTAGAGAGAGATTTTTCAAAATCAGTGCCATTACCTGTAGATATTAAAGATGACTCTTTTATTACACATATATGTGTATCTCTGTGTGTAATCCCCAGTATTGACCAGGAAAAATATAATGCCCACAAGGATAATTTTAGAGTGTGATATAAGAGGTTGGGTCGGAGAGGGGCATTAGTGGGAGTAGTCCATCCCCAACACGGAGAAATATTTTATCAGTGATACTTAGAATTGCTGGTGTATGGTGACAATAATAATCACACCATCTTCAATCAGACTTCCTTTTGTTTTTAAGTTGTTTACAGCCAATGTACCCCCCTTATTTGTTGCATGCAAAAGAGACTGCTTATACAACCCCTGATTCCAGCCTTGGTATGCCATTCCTTTAGAGCAGCAGTGGAATTTCCAAGTTAT